TCTAAGGGATGGAGTTGTATGAAATCCTTATAACAGAGCCTGGAGTCCTTCTTGATGTGAATTTGAAATATACCACTGATCTTATTGGAGTCTCTATAAGAGACACATAAGTAGCAGGGTAAAAATACATGCCTATAAAACACAAGCATGTGAGTATATACTTAGGCTGTGTCTAGATTGCATACCTTTTCCGTAAACGGGATGCAAATTAGACACATCGCAATTGCAAATGAAGGGGGGATTTAAATCTTCCTTGCTTCATTTGCATAAATATGACTGACGTTTTTTTCCGGCTCGAGGCTTTGCCGGAAAAAAGCGCCAGTCTAGATGGGGATCTTTCAGAAAATAAAGCCTTTTCCGCAAGATCCCTTATTCCTTATTTTAAGAGGAATAAGGGATCTTGCGGAAAAGGCTTTATTTTCTGAAAGATCCCCATCTAGACTGGCGCTTTTTTCCGGCAAAGCCTCGAGCCGGAAAAAAACGTCAGTCATATTTATGCAAATGGAGCAAGGCAGATTTAAATCCCCGCTTCATTTGCAATTGCGATGTGTCTAATTTGCATCCCTTTTATGGAAAAGGGATGCAATCTAGACACAGTCTTATTGTTTTCACACACAAACTTCAGGGGTCATCCTTTGAGAATTGAAATTTGGTGATGTTTAGATAATCCAGGAAAGCAGACATTGTCAAATGAGTGGGTGTGAGAAACGGATAAATATTTCAGGTTTCCAAGAAACTATACACACTGTTTCACTGCCTTAGTATAGTCTAAGAATTTTCTTTTAACATAGCATTCCATGGAGAGACAGAGTAGTCATCGGCACATCTGTAATATACCTATAAATTGCTTGCTCTCATCCCATTAGAAAAAACAATGGTAGCACTTTGGTAAACAGCTTATCTGATTACTGAGTCACTCTTTTTATTAAAATGGCAATGTTTCTGCTAAAAATCCTGAAAGGATGTTCTTGAATAGAATACGAGAACTCTTAAGCAGAGAGAATTAAGTTATTCATGCTATTTCAAACACCCTAAGTCATCTCTAGACAATTTCACTCATGCATTTTTGCTGCAGTTCCCAAGCAGAATTGAACACCAATCTTCCATGATAGTTCATATATAAATAATACACATGAGCATGGACTTTAATTTACAGGCACATGACATTCTGATATTTTAATCCAATAGCACCTTCAGTTTGGAATCTCTCTACATCATTAAGGTCACAACACAGTTCCCATTGCAAACCCCTTTTTTCATCTCCTTTATAACATACAGCTAAAGACATTACCATGTGTTAGCTTAACACGAGGCAAACTTAAACATGATTCATACATGAGAAGCAGAAAGAAAAGCAACTAATGAGGGAGTATGAACGTATAAATTAAAGTAATGCCCTTACATACTCTTATTCCTTGCAGCCTTTCTGTGTGTACATAGCCCCAGATTAGATTCCATTGGACCCACTAACCAATAACATCAAGAACTTAACACTTGGCCTCTTAATTTTAGTCATTTAGTGTTATCATTATGGAGCAGTAAACATATTTGCATTTGATAATACAGAATTACTTTGTTCCTCATATGGAAGTTGAGTGACGAATAAACAGTGGTACAAGTATGCCATACTAGCAAAATATTTTTAGCCAGCATAGCAAACCAGAAAGACTCCCTGCTGACCAACCCCGACCCCTCCACTGGCTGTGTGCGTACAATTCTGCAATCTGGGGGGCAGGGCTGAGAATGCTTTGGCAGCCAAAGGAGCTGCCAGCATTCTGCTCCTTCCCCACTGCTCCTCCTGATGTAATTCCGAAATAACATAGTTCGTGCCTACACAGCAGGCAGTTATTTTGACAATGTCAAAATACTGTGAAGCTGGAGGACTTCTTACTACAACTCCGGTAACTCTCATTATACTAGGAATAAGGGAAGTTGGAAGACGAGTGCTCTAACTTGGACTGATTTTAGTCCAAGTATTAAGTATTGGACTAATCGAATAGTCGATGAAAAAATGCATCGACTATTCAATTAGTCAATAGGGCGGCGCTGCCCCTTTGAAACGCTGCTGTGGCATTTCAAACGGGCAGAGCCCAGGGTCAGCTGAGGAGTCCAGATCATTTGTGCGGCACTACCCCAGATTTCCTCCCGTTGTTGCCTCTATCTAATGAAGGCAGCAAGGGGGAGGAAGCGACTAATTGATTATCCTGTTGACTATCTGATAAGCAAATGCAATGACTCTTTAACATCCTTAAATTAGCTTCCTGCCGAAATAAGCTGTTTCAACTTCAGCTACGCAATTGACATAGCTCAAGTTGCGTTGCTTATTCCAGCTTTAGCCCTGTTGTATTGACATGCCCTACCTGTGTTTAAAATAGACTGGCAAATTTCACTATTTTTTGTGAGATGAAGAAAAGGGGAAAGAACAATTTCCCCTTCATTTTAAAATGTTTGTACTGGGAACATTGGGACGGGAAATGGTAGAAAATTGAGGCAAATAAGGTAAATGCCTAATTTTAGATATTTAATAAAGGAATATAGAAAAGAAAGAGGAAGTAGCTTTTGTTTCCTACTATGACTCACAAAACAAATGGGTCAGCATATGGGTGACCAGAAAGCTAATGTAGGTGAGGCAACAAATACTTACGATGATTCAGAAGGAAACATTGCTCTCTTTGAGTCATTGGTAAATCAAGACCATAGTAAATCAAGATGCATCTGAGGAAGTGGGTCGTTGCCCACAAAAGCTTATGCTCCAATAAATCTGTTAATCTATAAAGTGCCACAGGACTTCTCGTTGTTTTTCCAGATTCGGACTAACACAGCTACCCCTCTGATACTCAAGACCATAGTGTAATGACAAAAGTTAAACACAAAGTTTAAAGAGAAGCTAGATAATTTCATGGAGGTTAGGTCCATAAAAGGCTATTAGCCAGGGGATAGAAATGGTGTCCCTGGCCTGTTTGTTAGAGGCTAGAGATGGATGGCATGAGACAAATCGCTTGATCATTGTATTCGGTCCACCCCCTCTGGGGCACCTGGCGCTGGCCACTGTTGGCAGACAGGCTTCTGGGCTAGATGGACCTTTGTCTGACCCAGTACGGCCGTCCTTATGTTCTAGGGTGATAGACCTGGTGTCCAGGCAAACTTCCAGCTCTAATAACTAAATTCCACATCTCTATAGACTCCTTCTAGTTTCAATGGGATATTTCATTCTAAACTATTGTGAATGGTGCTAGGTGCTATTAAGCAAGGTCATTGTTCACAAAGATGAGTGAAATGTTTCCTAAGTATCCTTTACCTTCCTCACAGAAGTGTTGTGTGGTTTGGTTAGGTTATGTAACATGTTGAGATTCCTGAATAGAAGGCGCTATGGAAAAGTTGGATAATATATGTCATGAGTCCAGGGATTCAATTTTAATCATTTTGTTGGTCAATGTAAGGTGTTGCCTGCTGTGCAAGGAGATGTTGTAATTAAAACCCCATTAGGACTATGACAATCAAATTAACCTGCTGGCTATCTTCCATCCTCCCTGACTGGGCTGGAGAGAAAGGGTCTAGACAATAGGTCACTGAACTACTCAGGCTAGTAGAAAGGTCCATCATCACCAGTGTACAAGAAAAATAAATAGGCTGAGGTTAGAGAGGGAACAAGCTCAGGAGGGAATCACAGGCCTGCACTATACCTAAAACTTGGATCTATCTACCTAAATGCCAAATGGCCAAATAAGCTATTTCAAAAGAGCATCAAAATAAGATATACAACCTGCATAGCTCAAATTGCATATCTTGTTTCAAGTTACGGTGCCGTGTAGACACACCTTACAGCAGCAGGACAAGCCTGTAATGTATATACCAGGGGTGGGCAATAATTTTTTTCCGGGGGACACTTCAGAAATTTTTGAACTAGTCCCAGGCTGCCCCAGAAGGGGTGGGGCCTCTGGCAGAAGGGGCAAGGCCAGGACCCTTCTGAGTTTCCCCACCCACAAACCCTGATGGGTCAGGGGAGGCACGCACACTCTAGGGACCCATGACCCTGGCTGTAGGAGGCAACTTTGCATGCTTCCCCCCACCCCCCAGGAAGTCTCTTGCTCCCTGTCCCAGTCCTGCAAGGGAGTGCAGCAGTTAAGAGTCAACCACCAGCTGAGCAGCAGCTGATGGTTGACTTTAAGTCCTGAGCCCCTTGCAGGGCAGGAGACTTCACTGCTCCCCCACCCCCAAACCTTGATAGGCCTGGAGGTGGGGGGAGCAAGTGAAGTTCCTGCCCCCATCCTGCAAGGTGCATGCAGTACTTAAAAGCTGCACCCCTCGCAGAGTGGAAGGAGACTCCATCTGCTTCCCCCTCTCCCCCAGACCCTGAGTGGCCTGGGGGCAGTGATGAGGGCCTCCACGGGCCAGTTCAACTTCCTTGGTGGGCTGAGTCCAGCCTGCAGAGGCCCCTTTGCCTACCCCTTGTATATACTGACACAATTAGGTCAATGTTAAGCTGCTTTTGATCAACCTGAGTAATGCAGACCAGTTCCTGGATAGTCTTCCATTCAACCCCCTTTCTTTTGAAAAAGGATTTCTCCTGCTCTCTGGCTATGATGATTCACGGTTATGCAGAGCGGGGAAAGGCCAGCCAGAGTGTCTCGGTCTGTGCCCAGCCACGCTGATGGGTCATGATCTGTCTGTTCCCGGGTTTGTACAATGGGAAGCGCGGCTGCCCCCTGCCTGGCTGGGCTGCGGAGCGGAATGTTGCAGCCCAGACTCTGGGCAGCGCGCGAGAGCTGCGCACACACGCGCGCGCGCGCGCGCTCGCACAGCAACGTCCGGCTCGCAGGGTGAGCGTCCCGCTCGGCCCCTCACGCGCTTGCACGGGAGAGCGGGCCTAGGCGCGTGGGCTGCCAGAACCACCTCGCGCAGCCGCGCTGGGCGCACTCGCGCGCTCACACGGTGCTCATGGCCGTGGGGGGAGGGGGGGAGTAATTGGGTTTTGGACGCAAAAAGGGCGGGGCGGGGCGAGCGCTCGCTGGCAACGCCCTGTTGTCATAGTTACTTCTCCCCGACACACCCCCAGCCCAGGCTTATCAAAGCCCGTGGGAGGCCGGGGCGCGGGTATCGCAGCCTCAGCCTCGATCTCGGTGCTGAGCAGAAAGGCGACGCCAACGGCCGCGACTTTTAAGCCTCGAGTGCGCCCTTACTAAAGATGGCCGCCGACCTCCCCCCACCCTCCCCGTTGCCGCAAGCGGGTTGAAGGCAGGCAGCCCTCTCTTAAGATGGCCGCCGTTTCCTTACACCCTCCGCCCATGCGGTGAGTTGGGGGGGGGGGGTGTAAAACAGGCCTCCCTTAGCAAAGATGGCTGCTGTTCCCACGAGGCTTCCAAAGGGTGTGAGGGTAGCCTGCCCTGAGTCAAAATGGCCGCGCGCCGTGCTCGAGGTGCGGCGCGAGGAAGGGTAGCTGGCCGCTAGCCCGGGCAGGAAAGCGGTGAGCCGGGGCGGGGGCAGCAGGTTTGAGCGAGGAGGGGCTGGAGGGAGCGAAAGGTCACTTCCGTCGCCTGCCAGGCTGGCTTCTTGCGTTGTCCCAGAAGCAGCCTGGGGATCGGGGCCCTGGACTGGGATTCGTGTTTCTGTCCTTCAGGTGTTGCCCAGGGGTCACGGCTGCTGTTTGTTTGGGGTGTCTGGACCCTGTGTCACAGAGCCCTCGGGGGGGAGGGAGGGAGGGAGGAGTTTGTTTTTGCGCGGCAAGGTCTAATTTTTGCTGATTCGAGAGGGAATGGAATTGTGTCACCCGTCTCTGAGGGGTAGTCGTGTTCCTCTAACACTGGGTAGGTTTGTGGCGCTTTAGTATCTATAGTATCGTGAGCTTTCCTGGGCAAAACCCACTTGGTCAGATGGTTCGTGTGACGTAGGGGGGGTACTTGCTGGGCTGGGGGGACCTCTGCTGTCTGGAGCAAGACCCAGCAGGGGAAACCTCACTATGCAAAGGTGATGCCAAACCGTTTGAACCATGGAGAGGAACAAAGGAAGGTGGAGGCTGCCCTGGCTGGGGGGCAGGGCTGGAAGAGAGTGAGTTTAGTTGCTGTCTGGGAGCATGGAGGAGACAGCCTAGGGAAAGGGGCTGGAGTTTAGGGGCCCAGTCTCCCCCCATCTCAAGGGGGCCTGAGGCATCCTAGCCCAGCGCTGGGACCAGATTACATCTGTGCTGTGCTGTATCCTGGAGAGGCAATAAATGTCCTCTATTCCACCGGCTGGTGCAGTCTGTTTGTGCCATTTCGGGGTGCAGGAGACGGGGGACCCCCCCCAACGCGCCGTCACAGTTCTTATCTGGCCAAATGGGTTTTCCCAGGAAAGCTCATGATACTATATACATATTTGTGTTAAAGTGCCATGGGACCTACTCGGTTTTGTTGTATCATTAGGTATTTCATAGACACAGTGCTGGGTACAAAGTGATTCTGTTCTAGCCCCAGTTTCCACTATGATTTTCACATTGATTATTCAGTGAATAGTATTTTCAAATGTTCTATGCTGCAAATTTAATAAATCAATGGCAAGTAGCATCAGAAGCGCCCCCACATTGGCTATAGGCACTGTGCACTCCACGTGGACAATTCAAAGGCCTCATGATCCCTCATACAGTCCCTGTGAGCTAAACCATGGGCTCCATGACCAACTTGTGGCATTAGGTGGTCCCTGGGGACTGGCAGTGGGGAAAAACCAGACACAAATATGAGTGTTGGTGCCACCTCTAGAGAATTTTACCATGTGCTATCCTTCTAATTGCTGGTCACCAGATTCCTGAGGCCTGCCTCCCCCTGCCCCTCACCCTGTCCCTGTTGTTCCCACCTCCCCACTCTGCTCTACCTCCACCCTCCCACCCCAAAATGGGCTCCCTCTGCTCTGGAGCCAGGACAGGAGCTGCTGCAATATGACCTGTATTGGACTTATTTTCTTCCTATTTACATGCTCTTTCCATCTGCCCCTGCATATTTTTACTAGCTTTTCCCATTTTGGAAACTGCTGTAAAATTACCCAAGGACCAACAAAAGCAACAGAGGGTTAGCTGAGTTAGTTTGTAACAGGAAAAACTTCTAAAAACAACAAATAGTCTAGTAGCACTTTAAAAACTACATGTTTTGTTAGTCTTTAAAGTGCTACTAGACTATTTAAGTTTTTCCAATAAAAATAAGTCATATAGTAGTAGTGGTTTAATTAAACTGTAATATTTGGTACTCATATATCACCTTCCATTCTGTGATTTGAAAGTGCTTTACAAACATTAATTCCTTACACCCGATAATTAAGTGAGGTGGCAATATATGTATTATCTGTGTTTTCCAAATGAGGAAACTGAGGCATAAATAAATTAAATGACAGCTTGGAGATGTATGTGACTTTGATCAAGAACCAGGATTCTTGGATCCCCAGTTTTGCTAGTCAACCACTAGACCAGAGGTGGCCAACCTGCGGCTCTTCACCCCTGCAAGTGTGGCTCACAAAGCTGCCCCATGCGCCCCTACAAATGGCCCCCAGCTGCCCAGCCTCATTTTTTGAGGAGTACAGGATCTTTCGAAAAAGGGTTTTTTTTGAAAGAACCAAGTCTAGACGGCGGTGTCACTTTTCGAAAGAACACTATGATGTGATTATGCAAATGAAGCATAGGATATTTAAATCCCCGCTTCATTTGCACTTCGAAAGAACACTATTTGTGATTATGCAAATGAAGCATAGGATATTTAAATCCCCGCTTCATTTGCACTTTCGATCTGCCTAATTTACATCCCTCTTTCAAAAGAGGGATGTAGTTTAGACATAGCCTATATGTGTGTCTCAGTTATTGGAAAAAACAACCAAAAAATTGAGATGGCTGAATTTATGACCTTGTAAGGTTCTATATGAAAAACATAAAACTAGAATCTCTGATTACTGAAGTTACTTTTCCTCAAAACTTGTACTTGTAAAGCCTGTGGTTTTAACTTGATGCTCAGGAGGAAGAACGGCTCAGATTTTCACAGTACTAGTTTGTATCATATATACTGGAATCCTTATTACTGCTGCAATGTCGTGGATGCAAGCTGCAGTCATCCGGCCCAGTGAGGATGTGTTTGATGAAGATGCTGATGAACTGCATCTTGTGCAGAAAGAATGGAAAAGTACCATGGATAAAAGAGTCAAAGTAATTTTTATAACCATTACTTTATTTTTAGTAGCCTTTTGGCCATTTTCTTTAACACATACATTGATACCTGCATGAGTGATTTAAGGGCAAATTGAGGATAGCTGTTTAAAAGTTACTGTGGATCAATTTATTCTGTAACTGAGTAAATTGTAAAGGAAATACTGCCAACCAGAACATACTTGAGATTGATCTATGAGCATAGAGTATGAAAATTGAGAAATTGTAGCCAAAATTCTAATCTGCTATTGGTGCATAATGTATTAATGTATGCAACTCCCCAACTACTCATGGGTGTTCTGTATATAAATTCCTGAACCTTAATGGGAGTTTAGATCCTCAGAGGCAGAAATATGCAAATTTAGTCATGTGACTGATCACTTTATTGATAGAGATCTCAGCAATAGCAAAACAGTTCCTTGATACCTTCCACAGTCTCCCTTTAAAAAAGTCAGAAGTGGAAGGTCAGCTTGGCTGGAACAATCTTCTGAATTCTAATCTCAGTTCTGCCACTGATCTGCTCATTGACTTTGGGTATATCTGCTTCAGCTATAAAATGATGAAATAATATGTATCTCCTAAGTGTGTTCTGAGTATTGTATATTACACTGAACATGTAAAATGCCCATATAAATGCAATGTATTATCAGATATTTGGTTCATCTGGCTGGAGAGAGAGAGAGATGGAATTTAATCAAAACAAAGTCTGGACTCAGTTATATCATCCTAGTTGTATCATGTTAGGAGATCTGGGTTTGTAAATTTTGAGTGATTAAAAATCAGTAGTTCATTGTAGCTCTCTAACATCCCATGTATAGTAATTCCTCTATTTGTCTTCATATTGAACTTAAAATAACAGTGAAAAATGAAGACTCATTTATGACGACTCATTTCAAAGGCTTTTTTATGAGGCTCATTTCAAAAAGAAATCCTAAAATCCTTTGCAGTGGATACAAAGGGCAAAACTCACAATACTATTTGAATTTGATTAGAATCTTAGGATATGATCTCATGCTATTTACTTTAATCAAATTCAAATAGTATTGTATTAGAATTTTAGGATATGATCTCATGCTATTTACTTTAATGGGCACTAGATCAAGCTCTTAATAAATGTAGCATCACTATGAGTCATCATACCAGGAACATTAAACTTTCACTCTTGGGTGATCAACATTTTATCAGAATAATGGAGGGAAAAAAAGCTGTAATCTGGGCTGTTGATTAGGGATAGTTCTGCTGCAGGACTAGAGCAATGGTTTTCAATCTCTGGTCCACAGATGCATGGGTTTATGCAAACTATAATATTTCCAAAGGGTTCTGCACCTCCATTTGCAATTTTTTAGAGATCCGTCAGTTTTAAAAGGCTGAAAACCACTGGACTAGACAGAGTATTGTTCTTTGAAAAAGGAATCTGGATTTTGGCTGCTTCAAGGAAACTATAGTCTGCTGTTTCGGGATGCCCCTAGTTCCATGTATAATCGTGATATTTTCATAGCTGAAATTTCACCATCTCCAATTTGCTTGAGCAGAAGATAGTACATCTCAGAGCATGTTTTCATTCATAGCTTTTCAGTGTGGGTATTGTGATCCAGTGTTCTCTGAAAGCTAAGCACTTGGGCAGCCACCCAGGGAAGATTCAAATATTGCCTAGCTGATTAGCAGAGTGCCTGCAGCCTGTGTTATTACTGGTGGTGCACATTTGCTTATGCCTCAGTGTACATAATTTTTTTTCTGCACATGGATGGAAAAAATTAGAGGGAACATGGGTGACAACCAGCAGTGTGACAGTGTATGTTTAAAGAGTTACATGCAAGGCCCTCCTAGGCCCCCACCCTCACTGCCTCTGTGTGAAGCAGCAAAGGTGATGCTTGCAGGGAGCTGGCTTAAAACCTGGCTCCCCTGAGCACCAGCTTCCACCTGCATCCCTCTCCTCCTCCCCTCCCCCTGCACTGCTGTATCCCCTAGACCCTAGAGCACTGTCTCCTGCAGAGCCACCTCCCCCTGTGTGTAATTTTCAGCAGTTACAGGTTTACAAAAAAAACCCGTTTAACATCCCTATTGATGACTACTATCTCTTTTTTGTGGCTAGAAGAGGAGGAATTTTAAACAGCAAAAAAGTTTCCAATAGAGGTTTCAGTATGGAAGAGGAATTTCTGTTCTAGACCATGTAACTATGGCTACGTCTACACAGTAACCTTCTTGTGGCAAAGCTTATACAAATGAAGCTCAACCTGGAATATTGCTGCACCTTTGCATAATTAATGACAGCTGTTTTTGCAAAAGAGGCTTTTGCGCAAAAACAGCTGCTCATTAATTATGCAAAGGAAGCCTGGCAAGATTCATTTTCATAAGCCTGGCTTCATTTTCATAAGCTTTTCTGCAAGAAGGCTACAGTGTAGACATAGCCTATGTGTGTAGAATATTTGTAGTTAGTTATTTTCTGACCTCATGGTTATTAAATGGCCATGTTTTATAAAACACCAAGAAAACTTTTGATTTCCTTTAGTTTTATGAATCTCTCATTTCTGATGAACACTACAGTAAACAAGTTTTACGTGCATCTAGCCCAGGGCCGGGCAAGATCTGGCCCGCCTAACAATTTGAGCCGGTCATGGACTGCTTTTGGCCAATTACTATTTATGTCCTGCTGTCCGATGCCACATAATTTCCAGGAGGTGGCTCAGGCAGCAGGACCTTATTTAAAGGGCTCGTGCCTCCTACTCAAGGCACTATCCAGGCAGGGGCTGGAGCCACAAGCCTTTTAAATAACTGCAGCAACCACGTGCAGGTGCCAAGCAACATGGAAGCACCAGAGCCATTTCTTGATTTTTTTTTTTTTTTTTTTTTTTTTTTTTTTTTTTTTTTTTTTTTAATAAAAACCAGATCCCCAGCCCATCCCTTCTGCCTGAGGCCCCATCCCTTCTGGGTAGCCTCAGAGCTGGCCCATGACCATCCACCACTACCACTCCAACCCCACAAAAAATTATTGCCCACCCCTGATTTAGCCAAATTAGCCACATTCCAAGAAACTGAATGTTTGTATAGACTTGAACTCTTGTAAAATAATCTTTGCTTATAGCTAGATAATTGATTCCAGTAACCTTTTATCTCCTTTACAGGAAGGTTATAGAGATGGTGTTGAGGCTGGGAAAGAGCTTTCACTCCAGCAGGGTTTCAATCAAGGTTACAAACAAGGTGCTGAGATGATGATGAGCTGTGGCCAGCTCAAAGGGATCCTTAGGTAAATTTTGAAGCTTTGAGATTGTGGGGTGTGTTTATATGGAAATCTGGACCTATTGTTTGTCAGATGCTGGGAAGACTCAGGGTAACATTTTCATAAGTGACTTTGGAGCTGAAGTCCTATGTTAGGAACTAAAAGTAAATGAAATTTAGACAAGTCATTTGGGTGCTTTGGAAAATTATACATAATATAATCAGAAGTAAAATATTCTTAAAATACCTATCACCATGCTATGAGAATTAGGCGTAATATTTTGTTAGTACTAACTGAAAATTGTCCAGGAGAAAGATGCTGTTACCTGAGAGAGCTTCAACAAAAGGATTGCTCTCCAGGCAGACTTCAGGTTAAAATGCAAGACCAATCTGCTATTTTTTGGTAAGGGCCATGGTCCTGTCACTGAGACCACTGCCTCAGCATTTGTCTTATCCTTGGCTCTGTTTGGTGAGACATCCTTGAAGAGCATAGTTGTGCTCCTGTTTGAGGCAAGAGTGTATAACCCAATTCAACCATCACACTGGGTATAGGAACCACTACCAGAGCAACATAACATTTTATATGATACTGGCTGTTGCTATTATAATTCTCCTTCAGAATGAAAAATTTAGTGCAGTAATTCTTAGCCCACCTTCCATTCCTCCCTTAAAGTTAACAAGATTTTAGTGGTTCAGTGGACTATTTGAACCCATACTTTTGGCTGAGCATTCAGCTTTTCCTGTTGAACTAACCTGAAACACACACGAATGAAATGTACACACACAAGCAGGATGAGTTTTTAACTTTGTCACCTTTTCACTCAACCTCAAGCAAACATGCAACGCTCTGCAGCTACTCAGAATCACTTATTTCTACCTCTTTTTTCCTCTTCAGTGCACTCTTGTCTTGGTGTCAACTTCATGGACAAGTTTCTGCTTTGCCGAGCAAGATAAATAACCTCCTAGATGCAGTTGGCAAGTATGAAGAATGTGTGCTTAAATATATGAATTATATCAGTTCACAGCCTAGTGTCGGAGAGTTGTTGGATTCTGTTCAGGATATGGATCTTAGTCATACTGTTTCAGTGGAGAATGAATTTGATGGAACTGAAGCTAGAAGACACTGTGAAAATGACTCTGAATTGAATGAAAACTCTTGCAGGAGTATCAGTGAGGCTGACTTCTTGCAGTCTGACAGTTCTAGAAGGACAAGAAAACACAGAGATTGTGAAAGGCCAACCCTTGCTTGGCTGAAAGAAGAGACTGCCTCTTTAGGAGAGCAGCTAGGCTTGTCACAAGACATATTACAGCACATCCAACAACTGGAAAGTTAAATTCTCTTGTGGCAAAAGGAATCCAATTCTAAGACCAAAATTAACAGGCTTATATTTTGCCATTCAAAGGGGTGATAGTAATACTAGTCACTTAATTTCATAGGAATGTGACGTCATTTTAATGTTTCCCTCTAAAACTCTAATAAAACATCCCTTGCTGTCATCATACTCTGTAATTTTGTATATGAAATACTCTTTACCTTGAGAGTTAAAATTGGGTGTGGAAGCAATTTATTCTTTTGTCAAGAACTGAGTTATGACAAAGCTGTCTAACTCTACAGCAGCAGTAATGTGTAATTTATTTAACTTGATCTTTTTATTATTCTTTCAGAAAAGGAACTGAATTCTTCTTTGGTTTTAAACTTAGAAATCAGTCACTTGGGTACTGAAAATGAAAGTAAACATTGCTATTGGGTTCAGAAGCTAGTCTGGGTGGAGAAGTTCTTTGAAGTGGGAACTGCACATACAGAAACAGAAAGGAACATGTACTGCCTATTTAAATATTTGAGTATTTTGTCAGTTTAATTAGTTCAAAATAGAACAAAATAAAGCCTTGCATTATGTAAAATCGTGTAGCACAGCTCACTGGTGTAGTTTGCTCTACTTTCACACCTTCATTGAAACTGGTTGGAGTACTAAGGACAAAACTTTATCCAAAGCAGATGGTCACAAACACTAAATGCTCTCCTATATGTTTAGCCTGTTAACTGGGGTGGTGAACTCACCTGGGCAGGATCAGTCCTGCATCATGGGCAGGGAACTACTCTGTCCAGGCTGGGTGTTGGTTACATCCCTACTTATGGAAAAGCCAAAATGGAAACTAGAGTATTGTAACAAGGTTATTACAGAACCAGAGTCTCTAGTGGATGGAAAGAGGCCTACCATGAGGCTAAAATTAAGCTATTTAATTCAATACAAAACTTAGTGTTCTGTAAGTTTTAAAAAAAACAGCCTGCAATTGCTAATCTTTTCCTCCTTCTTGACTAAATATAAGGTACTGTCTATTCCTGTTTGCCTGGAATAACAGTTTCCCTGAAACCGGACTTGTCCTTGCCCCTCTGTTAAAAAAGCCATATTTATTTTCTAGCTCCTGTCTTTCTTGAGCAGTGGTCTCCAACCTTTTTACACGTTTTCTAGCTCCTGTCTTTCTAGAGCAGTGGTCTCCAACCTTTTTACACCCAAGATAACATTTTAAATGACAGAACAAGCCAAGATCTACCACCCAGCCCCTTCCTTGAAGCCCCGCCCTTTCTGTTCTCCTCCTCTCCATCACTTGCTCTCCCCAACCCTTATACTGCTGCTTTTTTCTCCCAATTCTTCTGTAGGAAGAAGTTTTTCCTACATTTGGCCTGTCTAGACTGGACCAAATGTCAGAAAAACCCCTTCTTTTGGAAGCCCCCTTATTCCTTGTGGAAAGAGGAACATGGGGTGACGGAAAGAGCATGTTTGTTCTTCGACTAAAAAGTGGAAGAACAAATGCATCCCTGGATGCAGAAGAGTTTTTCTGGGATGTCTCCAGAATCCTGAAAAACTTCTGCAGTCTAGCTGTACCCTCACTGGGTTGAGACAGGAGGTGTAGGCTCTGGGGTGGGAATGAGGGATTTGGGTGTGGGAAGGGGTGAGAGGTGCAAGCTCTGGGAGGAAATTTGGATGCAGGAGGAGGTGGAGAAGGAGATGCTGACTCGTGGAGGGGGCTCCAGGCCGGGCAGTGTTGAGGTCAGCTGTAGGGTTAGGGTACTAAGCAGGCCACAGACTTCTGTATGTGAGGGTTCAGGAATTTGGGTTGGGGTATGTGAGGAGCTCAGGGCAGGGGGTTCCAATGGATGATAGGCTCAGATATAGGGTCTGGGGTAAAGGGGAGTGCAAGAGTGTTATGATGCTGTGGTCAGATGGGGGTTTGGCCCCAATTGGGGTTGTGTTGGCCAGGCTTCATTTTCAAATAAAATACTATGTCAAACACAAAAGTTTCTGCATTGTCTTTTTTTCTGAGAAGGGCAGGCACCCTGTTTTGCGTCAGGGGTCACTGACCCACAGAAAAGTTAATTAGGACCACACAAGTGAGATGCAAAAAAAAAAAAAACCACCCTCCTCCAACTCTCCTCCTCCTCTTCTCCCCCTCCTGCCTGCCTCACTAATATGGCCCCAACTGTGTTGGTGGGAGCAGGGGACATAGTACTGGGGAAGGGTGCTAGTGGGTGCTTCGGCAGGGGACAGGGTGCCAGTGGGGGCAGGTTTCTGAGGCTGGGGAGTGGAAGAGGGAGCAGGGAGAGAGGAGTGGTAAAAGGGTGCCAGGAGCGCAGGGGACAGGGTGCCAGTGGGGGCAGGTTTCTGAGGCTGGGGAGAGGGAACGGGGGGCAGAGTCCCCTGAACCTGCCTCCTCCCAGGATTCCGCCCCCAAGATGTAAGCCGGCTCATGCCTCCTGTGGCACAGCCAAACCCCTATGCGCACATGGCCCCTGCGCTTAACTCACCCCTCCTGCGGCGCAGAGAAGCCGCTGCACTCCTCCTTTGGGGCCGATTCCCCCTCCCACAGTGCACCCAGCACACCACAGAGCTGTGGGAGGGGAGCAGCCAGCGCATTTCCGGAACCGGCGCAAAGCTGCAGGCAGGACTTCCATCCATCCATCCCGCGGGAAGCTGGCACTATGCTGGAAGTAGGTAGTCGGGCTTCTCAGAGGTGGGGAGGCCTGAATGCCTCATGATCAACTGCGGGCTTCTCAGGGGTGGGGAGGCCTGAATGCCTCATGATCAACTGGTTGAGGCCTTGCGATCGACCAGTTGGTGACCACGGTTCTAGAGACATGATTGATCACATTCTTTCAGACACTTCAGGGAATGCTTTCTGCTCCATCAGTTCTGTTGCCAGTTATATTTGTTACTTACCTGCATTCTCAACATGTGATTATGAACATTGATAAGTTGCATGTTCTCAAAATAAACCTTATTTTACGCTTGTGGACAAATACTGTAAGCAATATAGTTGGTGTAGTGAGTTTGTCAGGTTGTAGATAAGTTAAACAGGACCCTTTACGTAGGCCTTGTATATCACTGGCATTATTAGCCACAACTTTCTACACATTACTTGCCTAACCATAAGAACATATGGTTGGCTGGCTCTTTATTTATCCTAACACCCTGCATTTGTCACTTTCTGTTCATCTTGTTTAAAGTGACTACAAACTCCTGGGCATGAAGGCTGGTTTTGTTTAGTAAGTCAGCATTCATTTATTCTGTACTGTCATATGCACATTTCTCACTATATAAATCAATTCTAGCACCTACCAGGCAAGAATGCTGAGTAGGACTTCTCACTGTTGTGACAGAGCAGGTTAAAGGACTTGGTGGAAGGAAAGAGAGAAGGAGCATGGAGAGTAGTAAACAACCCAGTGTTAAGGAGACTCAGAGTGGAGGAGCAGGAGGAACCACCAGCCCTGCTAAAGGCTACAGGGTGAGGTGAGGAGTTGAGCAGGGAGTGTTGGAGGGCTCCCTTACCCCTATTCCCTGGGGCAAGAAAAGGGCTTCCTGGTCAGCAGTGACTGGCCCAGGACGTCAGCCCAATATGCCCTCCTTTATGCTAAGGTCCAGGGACAAAAACTCTGCAGGTGAGGGCCCTACTGCAGCCCTCAAAGGGTGGGACAGTGGACAGAACAGTGGTCAGGATCTCAGGAGGGAGACTGACCCTGCCACACTCTCTCTTCCTTATGTAGTGGCAACTTAAAACAGTTTTCAGCTGATTGAAAGCACATTTAGTCAGAGGCCCAATACATTTGAAAGAATTAAAACCAATTCTGCTATAACACTTTTGGACTCCTACCTTAATTTTACAAGTTCCAAACCTAATATTAGGCTTATCCTTTGTGAAGACAAGTCATTGTGTGGAATTAGAAAATTACACAGCTATTTGTTTGCAAGATATTTTTAATGAACAACTGTTTTGGCTATGTCCACTTTTGTTAGCCAACACTGATTTTGCCAAAAAAGGATGTTAAATCTATGCAGGAGAGGAAAAGCTTTTCACTTAAATTCACTCAAGTAGAACTGTGTAGTAACATATGGAGCGGTGCAAACAAGTCAAAACTCATTAGTTGCAGTAGTGCACAAAATGGCAGACAGTTTCAAACAATAGTTCCTTTCCCCCTCAACTTATCTTAGATTTTTTCAATTACATTTTTAAAAAGTTAATCTTAGATTTTTTTCAATTACATTTTTAAAAAGTTAGCACAACATTATGGTTTAACAAACAACTTCAAAGTAAGAAATCAAAAATGTAAGTGCTACAGCAATGTAATGTGGACATCTTGCATAATACATATACCTACAAATATTTAACAAACAGCAACCTAAACAATTACATGCCTATATTTGCTCTGTGGGTTAAATTAAGATTCTTACTTCAGTGATTGACTTTTCAAATTTGTACTCCAACTCAAGTGTTAACCTTTTTTGCATTTAGCAATATGCAGGGTTCAAAATATTTAATTTCAAGAGGAAATCTTGCTAGACAGATTGATCATGTCAAATTCTCCTCTACTGTTCCTTGAAGTAGTATCTGTTGACTGTGGTTCCATGGATTAGGAAAGGACTGAAGAATGCCACTTTGGTCAGGGGAGTCAACTTGTAGATGGATCAAGGCATTGCAGTGCTGACTGGATCAGGCTTTATGATGACTAACATCAGAGGAGAAAATAATCTGCTGCTTGGCTTCAGAGCATTACTAGAGCGGATGGGACTGCCACTTTAAAAAGATTTTGCTAGCCTCCAGTACTGGGTTTGGCTTCTTTTATCAATCTATCAATGTGTTGCCAGTACTCCTAGTAGGGAGAATCATGTTCCTATTTTGTTTCTTAGCATCAGCTTCCAGTGTAACACTGTTCTTGAAAATAGTTCTCATGACGAGGGGGACAGACATACAGCTGAGAGAAAGCAGATATTGAGAACCATTCCTATTTTGTTTCTTAGTATCAGCTTCCAGTGTAACAGTGTTCTTGAAAATAGTTCTCATGACGAGGGGGACAGACATACAGCTGAGAGAAAGCAGATATTGAGAACATTGTTCAGTACACCATTAACTAGGGATGTGAAAGTGTAACCATGTACACTGTTAACTCATGAGCCTGAGCTTATCGGTTAACCAAGCTGCTCCCAAATGCCAGTCTGCATACCAGAACCACTGGCAACTGGGGAACGCTGCCCAGCCACAGTGAGAGGGGAAGTGGAGAGAGGCAGATCCTACCCCACCTCTCAGCTAACCAACACCAATCAGGGTCTCCTGGAGGCGGTTCCCTGTTGGTGGAAGGGCCATGCAGATCCCAGCAAGGCTCTTCCCACGGGGCAGCTAAGGGAGAGGTCACATGGAGTTGTTATGCAACACGCCATAGTCAGGTGCAGCACTTGGGGAAGTGAGGTGAAGGGGGTCACATGGGCATGCAGCCCATGTGCAGAGGGAGCTGCCACAGGACACCACCAGCACCAAAGAGGAAGCCAGAGCTGCACTGCTGGAACCGCACATGCTGAGTGTGAAGGAGCCCCAACCAGCAGAGAAGTCCCAGGTGCTGCTGGGTCCGACCCGACCCCAGAGTCTGCACGGGCTGGTAGGAGCAGCCCAGGACTAATGGCACAATTCTCCCACGCAGCACTACTGCTGGAAGCAGCAGTGGCACAAATGCCAAGCCATTAATCCCTGTGAAACCACTCCCACATGCTGGGACCTGCCACTTTCCTCCACGTCCCTGCATAGGTCACTCCAGGCAGCCTTCTTCCTCTCTCCCAGCCCTCAGGCTGCTGAATTGTGAGTTGTCTTAAGGGGTGGGAAGGCTCCAAGAGGCAAGGGGCTGATACTGGGCGGCACTGGAGTATCCTGGGTGGATAGGCAGGGCTGGCACTAGGGAGGCTCTAGGGATGGGGCTAATATTGGGCATTGGGGTCTGGCACTGCAGGGGTTCTTGGGAGGCTGGGTGCAGTGGGACTGGGCAGCAATGGAGTATCCTGGGTGGAGAGGCAGGGCTGGCACTGGGGAGGCTCTAGGGATGGGGCTAATATTGGGCATTGGGGTCTGGCACTGCAGGGGTTCTTGGGAGGTTGGGTGCAGTGGGGCTGTGGAAACAGGAAGCTGGCACTAGTGGGGGGCTCTAAGCCTTAAGGGATGGGGTGGGTCTGGCAGAGCTGAAGCTGGCTGTTCATGGCAGCTCTGGGCCCTAGGGCTTTTGGTGGACTGTTTAAGTTTTATTTGCATATTTATTATTTACATAACGAGTATTCAAATATGTAAATAAAATGTTACTAGTCCGCCAAAAGTTTGTGAATGGGTTTGTTGGTTCGCAGTATAGGAGGGAAAGAAAAAAAAAAACCAACATTGAGAACTACTGGGTTAACATACACACAGGTTCTGGATAGGCACTGGGAGCTGAGTTTAAACAAGCTTTAAGCCAGCTCCCAGTGTACATCAGTTCCCGAGGAGCTGCCTTACCTCTCCCTCTCCCTGAGGCTGCCTCCTCTGTGCTCTAAGTTGCTGCCTCAACTGCCCCCCACATGTAACCACTGAAGTTTTCAGCAATTACACGTTTGATTAAATGCATTTTAACATCCCCAACATTAACCACACCGTCTCAGCCACTATATAAAAGATGACTAGTCTGAAGTGAAGCCATATTTTCCTGTTGCAAAATATGGATTTTTCCCCCACAATCCTCCCCCTCACCAGAAGCTGAAGTTGTATTGAGATCAGAAAGAGCGTGTAACTCTAATATTGTTTCTCATCGTGTTAGATACACTGAAGGCTGCATGAAAGTAATGGTGAGCAGACAAATCTTAGGATATCCCCTTCTATAGTTCCAAAGTTTGGGACTTATGAGCTCATTAAAAGTAAAACCTTAAGTTGACAACATTCGTCTTACAATTAAAAAAACTAGTTGAGAGCAATTCTTATGCATTATATGAAGTTTTAAAAGAATACAGAGTCTCAGTCTTATCCACCGTAAGGCCACTTTACAAAAATAAAATAAGAGGGTAGAGTAGGATCTACTGTCTGTCTCGCTAATTCAGCTGAACCAGTTAGCAATAACAGGAGCCCAAATGTACAGTGCTCTGGCGGCAGCTGCAAGTTTTCCATATCTTGGTGCTTAAATTATGGATTCAAATTCAGCCTACATCCAACTTACTGCCCTTAGCTGTTTTCTGGCCTATGTGAAACGAATTAGTGGTCTCAGTCCACTGGGTATGCATGTCCATTCCCCAGCACCCTCACACAATTTGGGCCCCTCATCGCAGTAGAGAAGGGAAGAATTTAATAGATATGGAAAGTGATCTGCTCACTTCCCAGAGTGGTTTCCTCTAGAAAACAGGAGGCACATGATGCTAAGCATAGGAAAGGTTGCACTACTGCTACTTCTGTTGTACCTGTGTTGTGTGACTAAACAGATGTATCTACAGCTGATCACCAGAACCCCGTCAAGAGGATAAAAATAAATGCCTACTTTCTACTGTAAAAAAGTCTTAGTTACAGACACAAGAACTGTGTGTGTAAGTGAACATATCAGTATTGTGCAAAGAAAAGTGACATCTCTCTTTAAGAACTAAAAATATACTTGGTATTTACTCTCTAAGAACTAAAAATATACTTGGTATTTACTAAAGACAACCTTTTATAATAATCAGAATGGTAGTTTTACTATTTCTGAATATGAAAGTAGAACACTTACCGCTCCATGACTCTTGTGATAAAGTCATTGCTGCAATTTAGAGGTACATCTTGAGGATTTGTATAAAGACTGCATTTGATTTTTCTGGAGCTCAAGACATCAGCTACCACTGAATGAGAAAAGATACGGATACTTCAAAATTATATTTGTAAGGCTCTAGCACTAGTATTTATAACCACTGAACAATTCTCTTTGGTCCATGTATGACAATTAAGATCTGCATCATTGAATATTAATGGTACCATGGTAAATATAACCATTATATTTATGGTTAACCTTTACCATAATAAAGAAAATGTAGCTCATATTGCTAAGCTACTATTGAGTAGGAACTACAAGCTTCCATCCCATTGATTTCAGTAGGGTTTCACAGCGGCATGGGAGTCTGCCTATCCAATGTCCAATGCATAGCAGAACCAGAGCCTTAAATTTTTACATTTCCTAACTTGTTTTGAAGTCAACAACCTTAAAGCATTACATTTTATCTATCTGCATACACACAGAGAAGAGTAATGCTTAGGAATATTTTTGAGATTCACAGTACACTGTGCACATTTACAATTGAAAGTCATGTCCTGCTAGAATGAAGATATTCGTAAACATGTACAAAGAAATAGTAGGGTTGAATCTTCCACACTTACCACAGGCTAAACTCTCCCCGATAGGATGCTGGAATGAGATACAAAAGCTAGTGTCCATCTGTGGAGTAACTTCAAAATAAAGCAGTTCTGAACAACCTGCAAGGCAGTAACTTATGTAATAAGTTATTTAAACTTAACCCCATGGAAATGAATTATATACTAGATATTCAGAACACTGACTTCTCAGAATTTAATTATTGCAACTCAGTAATTTGTGCCTCTGGAAACTAAACATTGGGTGAGACATACAGAGAGATCTCTCAACATACAGAGAGATCTATACAAAAAAGTTAAGGATGCTGATATGAATTCAAACATTTAAAACAATTTGTAACTAGCAATGCATTTGGAGAATGCAACTGCTGTGTTGGTGACATCCTTATTTACAAATACAAAATGGATCAATAGACTATTACAGAAAAACACACTGCATTTCATAGCATACAATTTACCTTCATTTGCAGTGTTCTTAGAGACACAGGTGCCAATAAGAGTGTTATAGGCAACTTGATGACGAAGAATCTCAATTATAGGAGGCACACACTTTGGATGGGTAAATGGAATTTTACTGATGAGGGCTCCTGTTATATCTGATTTCTCTGTGCCCTTACTTATGAAATAACAGTGCTTCGGGCAACCTGGAAGAGACTGACCAAGAAATATTTATTTTTTTGAGGAATGAAAGGCAAGATGGCTAGTCATGATACCCAAATGTTATAATGGATCTGGTACCAAAAAAATCTTGTGGGAAACAATTGTTAAGTCTGTCATCCTCATCCATGACTCACTGAAAATATCACTCAGAAAGCAGTCAACTGACACTAACATCCTTCTGCAAAATACCTTTTAACAGGTTAATCTGCACTGAGCTTCATGCCAAGAGACATGAGTTCTAGTCTCAATTGTTTGGTGAGGGTTGTTAATATTTGTATGGCTGTCACAGCCCTTTCTTTAATTTAGGAGAAGCAAGCATCATTCAGTCATTATACAGGTATGATAACAGACAAAGAGAACATTTCAGGCTGAACCATGAACAGAGTGCGCTCTCAACTGGCAGACCCTAATCCCATACTTCCTTTCAGAGGGAACATGCTTACCTGTGTAGTCTCTTCTTTACCAATTTTCCCAGACTCAGGAATCCTGACAACCAATGTTCCATATTATCTGACAAATAGTCATGTAACCCATTGGCAGAGCATGTACTGCATCTACCACCTAGGGTAAGTCTGCCTACCAACTAACTTGTTTCTGCCACTGTTTGTTCCTACAGCTAAATAGAAGAGATTTGTGAACACATACAATGGGTGTGGATTCAAACCAACCTAGTTACTCATTTGAGGGAGGAAAATGGGGATATGACCTTTTAAATTAATACAGGGACTCTGGAATAATTGCCAAAATGATTTTACATTGCATTTGGAAGTTTATTTAGATGTCAGGATGTGTTTTAATCTTGTAGTTTTAAAGTATGCAGCAAACCAAGGAGTGATTGTAGCAAGGGTAGGAAAACCCACACTAGCATGGATAAAAGTGGTAGTAAAGATGTGGGAGTGTAGCACAAGCTCTTGGGGGACCTATTTGGATTATTAATTCACACTGGAGTCAGTTCAGTTGTCCTCATGGTTGTTGCCCTACAAACAACACCTTCACGGTAGAAATAACTTTACTGCAAAGACCAAGAACAACATAAGAATGACCATACTGGGTCAGAACAAAGGTCCATCTAGCCCAGTATCCTGTTTTCCAATAGTGGCCAATGCCAGATGCCCCAGAGAGAATGAATAGAACAGGAAATCATCACATTATCCCTCTCCTGTCTTTCATTTCCAGCCTCTTACAAACAGAGGCTAGGGACACCATTACTACCCATCCTGGCCAATAGCCATTGATGGACCTATCCTCCATAAATTTACCTAGTTATTTTTTGAACCACGTTAAAGTCCTAGTATTCACCACATCCTCAGGCAAGGAGTTCCACAGGTTGCCCTGAACCTATAGGTTTTTTTGGGATAAGCTATACACATTGCATTCTGCAATGTGCGTAGCTTTTTTTAATTGCTTTTCCGGAAGAGGCTTTTTTGCCATTTGGCCCAGTCTAAATGGGGCCAAATTGCAGAACAGCCTTTTCTTTTGGCAGAGCCCTTATCCCTCCTAGACCGAGGAATATAGGGCTCCCTGAAAGAGCATGTTTGCTCTTCTGCAAAAAGAAGCGGAAGAGCAAACACATTCCTTGGACATGGTGGAGTTTTTCCAAAATATCTCCAGTATCCCAGAAAAAATTCCACAGTGTAGACATACCCTGAGTGAAGAAATACTTCCTTTTGTTTGTTTTAAACCGGATACCTATTAATTTCATTTGGTGACCCCTCGTTCTTATAAGAACAAGTAAATAATTTTTCCTTATTCACTTTTTCCACATCAGTTATGATTTTATAGACCTATCATATCCCCCTTAGTCTCCTCCTTTCTAAGCTGAAAAGTCCGAGTCTTTTTAGTCTCTTGTCATAGGAGACCCCTTCTAAATCGCTAATCCTTTGCGTTGCCCTTTTCTGCACTTTTTCCAATGCTCAGTATCTTTTTTTGAGATGAGGTGACCGTATTTGTACACAGTATTCAAGATGTGGACATACCATGGTTTTATATAGAGGCAATAAAATATTCTCTGACTTAATTAAAAAAATGAACAAATATGAAAAGGACAAATCACATTGCAGAACAGGAGGGCGAAGCTTCCTTCCCCCAAGGAAGCTTCGCCCTCCTGTTCTGCAATGTGATTTGTCCTTTTCATATTTGTTCATTTTTTTAATTGTATCCTTTGGTATATATGGTTGTGACTACTTTCTTCCACTATTTGATCTGAGGAAGTGGGTCTGGCCCACGAAAGCTCATCATCTAATAAACCATCTTGTTAGTCTTTAAAGTGCTATGTATTTAGGGGAATGCATGAATTTAGTTAAAGCAAAATGCAGGACAATAAATTTAGTTAAGTTAACTAATTGACTAGTCAATGGAATTTCCATCAACTAGTTGATTAGTGGGGGAGCCTCAGCAGGGTTAGTATTTAAAAGGCTAGTTGCGCAGCAGGGGGAAGGACCCTGCATGAGCTGGGAATCAGCTGTCCCAGCTCGCACTGGGTTCCTACTACTGCACTTTAGCCTTTAAAATGTAGTAAGAGCCAGCAGGCTGTTCATACATTTAAAAAGCATCTGGGACTTGGCATGAGTTGGGTATGAGCTGATTCCCGGCTCGTGTCCGATTCCCGCTACCTCCCTGCCTCCCACAGAGACGGTGCAGGGGGGAAATCTGACTTAAGCCAGTTCCCTCCCCCCTACCTCCTGCACTGGCTCCTGCTTGCCCCCTTGCTGCCTCTGATAGGGGCAGAAGCAACTAGTTGAGGGACTAGTTGACTATCCAGTAAGCTTCTGTTTATTGGATAGTCGACTAGTCGCTTACATCCCTATGTCAGTCTGCTTGACATGGGCCATAGTGACTAAGTCATACCTGTTACCTATAACAGAAGTGACCACCCCCAACTGCCCCTAGTCTTCATTTCAAAATTAAGGCAGAACAGAGGATGTGGGAAATTTGCCTGTGTCTACAGAGCAATGGCAAAAGGTATTCACCGACCAGAACTGTCCAGACAACATCTTACACCAGTATTAAAACTCTGCAATCTTTACAATTTATGTTTAAGATTATTGTCAAGTAATTTGTAAGTATGGAAACCAGCCTTGGTCTAGAAGCTGTCATAACACAAACATTTTGAAACCACTATGTACCACAAAACAAAACAAAAAAAATTGCAAAAAGAAATCAGTTAAATGTATGTATAATCATTAATTGTTTACTGACAGACAAAAAAAAAATCTAACTTTGCCTGCATTTATGTGGTTAAGAATAAAAGCAAAATGACTTGCACATATGCAAAGCGACAACATACGTACCACAAAGAAACAAGAATTATTCATGGACAGATCTTCCTTGTACTCCTCATTAAGGATAAACTGAACAATCAATGAATGAAGAGAAGCTAGTTTCAGTCCCTCCATTGGAACTCCTAAAGCCAGGAAATTTTTAAGATTAATATTTCTGGCTTAATTTGTAGTTATTCATGAGACAAAGTGGCAGTTCCATTTTTACAAACCGAGTCATCATAAAGAAGATAGGGAAGTACTAACCCCCATTTTACAGATTGGGAATTGAGGCACAGAAACAACTAGGATTACACAGGAAGTCAGTCATAGCTTTATATTAAATTCTGATTTCTCATGTCTCTGTCACCCACAAGACCATCCTTCCACCTTATATTGTCATTGCTTTACTTGATCCTCTGTATATTTATTTTCCCCAATGTCAGGTCATATTTACATGATAACACATTAAAAATGTGCTAGTCACACCTGAGCTGATAGGAATACTGATTAGAAGATTTTCTTTCACAGAAGGCAGAAAATCTGCACACATTTCCTGCAAAATTAGCATAAGGAAGGTGAAAAGGAAACCAGCTAGCTAGAGCACTCACAAATATTTAATCTTACAGATAAACATGCCTGTTAACTTCTGTATCTCCTGAATACTGGATGAGGACATAGGAAAAGGCTGATGAAATGTCAAGAAAAAGCAAGCTGACAAATCCATGCTGAGTTCATCAGTCAGTGATAAAAAAGCAGGGTTGCTGAAGGAAAAAAGTGTAGAAAGGCAAGCTTGTCAAACACAATGCTAGTATGACAGGGATTCTTAGTGTCCTAGGCAAAATTAAGACACACATATGGTGTAGAATGAATAATATGGGATATTCTTCCCATCTCAAGAAAAATCCCCTTCTGGAAAATGCAAGTACAGATTACACATCATAAGGCAAGGTCTACAAAGACTAGCACAGAAGGAAGGTGACTCACAAAAATATACAGAGCACTGTACCAGGATTCTTGCTTTAAGTCAGTGTACTGTGGTTCATTTTCAGGGATAAGGGGAGCTGTCCCTCACTCTTACCCCTTATATTACCTGTTAAAACAGCTAAATTAAACGGTGCTGTTCTAAGAAAGGTCATGCAAACTGTTTAAAATATTATACAATTTAAATACAATACACTTAATTGATATATACTAATTCAATCTAAAGTTAGGAGCTTGACGTAAGTCTGTGTTGTACAGGAGGTCAGATGAAATCACCACATTGGTGATCACCACGTTCTGGTCTTGGGGTGGGGAGGAATCTATAATCCCGTGGAATTCATACTGTTAACATGAATTTGGACAATTTTAAACTCCTTTGGGAAAACGCAGCCAGAGATTATACAGAGTACTCCAAAGAGGGATAATGCCATCAGTACAATAGAGTTGCCCTTGTCAGTGGGCTTGCATCTCCATTATATGTCAGCAGGTTTGAACGTCAATGATTTGAAAGTCCATTTAGAGGTTCAGAAATGTCAATAGTGTCTTTGAATCTCACCCATCTCCTGCCTCAGAATCCACAATTAATGGAGAAATAGGAAGTTTGTGTGACGTGTTTGAACTTCCAACAGTTACATATACTTTTGTTCCACATACTTGGGAGCCTAAGGGAACAGAGAAAACAGATTTGTGTCACTGCGGTTTTCCCCTTATGAAAATGTAGATGAACGTAGTGCTGGTAAAATGGTGCTATACTGGAAGGCCCGGTATCTTCCAGTCATTTAGGGTGCATCTATACTACATGGCGGGACTCAAAATAAAATACTCAAATTGAGCTACGTCAATTGCATATCGCATGGCGGGACTCAAAATAAAATACGCAAATTGAGCTACGTCAATTGCATATCTTATTTTGAAATTCGGAGCGTCTACACAGCACTTATCCTGAAATAGAGCACTCTTCCACTGACTTCCCTTATTCCTCGTACAATGAGGGTTACAGGAATCAGAGTAAGTCGTCCTCTAGTTTGACAGTATTTTGACACTATTTCAAAATAAATGACTGCTGTGTAGACACAGAGTAAGTTATTTTGGAATAGCGCTAGTTATTTTGAAATAGTGTTGCAGTGTAGACATACCCTTATAGTCCAGGTACAACTTTGACCATTACAATGCAATATTGCCATCATCTGCTGCAGATTGCCTTAACCCAGATTGCCAACTATATCAGTTTGATCATCATAGCTGGCATTCTTCTGTGACATGAACATCTCTGCGTTAAGAAGCCAGACCAAAGGACCAGAAATTGAATTTCACATGGGTCACTGAATGACTTTTGATTGCTACCATGCTGGGTATTAATACCAGCTACCTAGAAGTGACAGTTTCCAGTTTTCTGAAAGATCATGTCCCTACATGAAATAAGTGCATCCCAGTGCTCTGTTTACCACAAACTATGTGTACCTTTCTGAAGTCTGCTAACCAAGCTATTTACAAGTTAATTTGTTCCCACCTCAGTGCCAGGAAGAATCAAAGGATATAGAAATAGTCTACTTTGTTCCACATACAAGGAACCTTCTTGCACACAAACTTGGATGTAGCAACACTCTTACAGAGAAGTAGAATCTATGCCCTAAATTGTTTCTCATTTCCTTTAGCGATCGTCTGCTTGAAAGAGAATTTGTACTTTTGAGAGTTACTTGACTATACAATTTCCACTACATGCATCTGACAAAGTAGATCTTTGCCCACGAAAGCTTATGCTCCAACACTTCAGTTAGTCTATAAGGTGCCACAGGACTCCTCGCCACTTTTGACTATACAAATTACCTTCTTAACATCACTAGATTCTTTTCAGACTACAATTGTAAAAATTAAAGACCGCTTTAAAATATTGTGAGCTTATTTTTTGATTTGTAATGTTTTTCCATTTTTACCAGGGTTCAGCTCTTCTTCCAGAACTTGATAGGGAGACAGATAATATTCAATGTTCATAGGGGTTCCTGAAATGGAATTAAAGAGAGTGACAATTGCTTACTATAAGACATAATCAGTTATGACTTGACAATTAAAAATAAATCCCCAAAAGGACTGGTTGTACATGCAAAAACAAAATCTTCAAAATCTTCAAAAAAGTAATTTTCACAACATCATTGTGTTGGATTATATTTTACTGCTAAAGTCTCAAGGAGAAGATGTATAGCATCAATTTAATTAATCGAATCTTTTGAAAGGTATATCATACTTCAATTGTTACACAAGCTCATTCAGACTTGAAAGGATTTAACATAGCAATATTTTACTCTTTCTTAATACTGGTACTTAAATGTTAGAATTTGAAGAGAACATCCAACTGAAATACATAAATAGACAATTTCTTAAAGTGACTCAGCTCTGAGGAGGGAAGAAAGCAATAATACATAGACAAAAGACTTTCATATGGAGCTGAGCAATAGCTCAGCCCAGCAACAGTGTGCACTGAAGACACATTTTGTGAAAATGTCTGAATTCTGAAGGGTCTCTCACTGAGATTTAAAGTGCAAAGCCACGATCGACTACAATCTATGAAGATCTAGAACAGTGTTTCTCAACCAGTGGTATGAGTACCCTTAGGGGAACTCGAGAGAAGTCTGGGGGGTACATCAACACAACTGACATTTGGAGAAAACTGAATTTTTGTTTAAAGTTTTATACCGCTTTATTATTTTTGTACTTTTTATACCCAAAAAATTCATCGCCCGCCCGGACATGATTAAGTCCTTTAAACAAATGTGTTGCAATAGTAGAAAAAAATTGTGTCTGAAAACTGTAGGTACTGGGGGGGGGTCCTTTTTTTTTTTTTTTTTTTTTTAAAGGAGGTACTTTATAAAGAAAGGATGAGAAACACTAATCTAGAACAATGTGCTAAAGACTTTGGCTGTGTCTACACTGCACCCCTTTTCCAGAAAAGGGATGCAGATGAGACAAGTCGGAATTGCAAATGCAGCGGGGATTTACATTTTCCCCGCAGCATTTGCATGAACATGGCTGCCGCCTTTTTCCGGCTCGGGGCTTTGCTGGAAAAAAGCGCCAGTCTAGATAGGGATCTTTCGTAAAATAAAGCCTTTTCCGAAAGGTCCCTTATTCCTGATTTTAAGAGGAGTAAGGGACCTTTCGGAAAAGGCTTTATTTTCCGAAAGATCCCTGTGGACCTAGAGCATCTTTTCATTGTACAGTGCCTGAGAATACAGAGCCCCTGTTAGGCATTACTTCAGTACAAATAATACATTTAGCTAGTAATGCAGCTTATGACTGAATAATCTTTGCTGTGTGGGGGACATACTCAGTATTCAAGTTAGAGTTGGTTTATTTTTAAAAATCTAAACAAAAAATAAATTACCTCCAGTTCTTAGCACAAGGCGTCCTATTTTTCCATGCAGAACTTCAGTAACTCTGTCTACATCTGGTGTTCTAAATGTTCACAAAATACAGACTGGATCAGTTCTAGAGTGACTGTGCTATTTAAATCTTTAAACAGTCTCTCTTCTCTTTTGATTGTCTTGGCTTCAAATTTGTTTTTACAGTTCTGTGATCGTTTTCAGAAACTCACCACTGCCCTATGTTTCAGTGGCATCATGCATAGTCTTACTCTTAATGCTGGATTTCCAGCTGGGGTCATCTCTGCTCCCTTGTCTGGGCTTTGTGCCTATTTAAAATTTGACACATTCTGGTTTGGTCTACCCTAAAAGGGAGGATGATGAATGTACTGGAATGACAGACTATTGCAAGGGAAAGTGGAAAGAAGGGATTTGGATTAACTGGAACTCAAATGAGACACACACTTCAGCTCATGTGAAATTCAAGAATTAAATGAAGAGCTGCAAAATGGTAACAGACTGAAAAAGATCTGCTCAGCTGTGCAAATAACTTACTCATCAGTTCATCATTAACTGCTCCAGATATTTGCTGACAGATTTGTGACTAGTGAAGACACAGTATGTTCACTCAAAAAGAAAGACTATTCTTAGTAAGGAAACACTAAGGCTGCTTCTAGACTGGCAAGCTTTTCCGCAAAAGCAGCCACTTTTGCAGAAAACCTTGCCAGCTGTCTACACTGGCACTGACGATCTAATGTAAGATTGTCGGTGTTCTTGCACAAATACTATGCTGCTCCCATTCGGGAAAAAGCCCTCTTGCGCAAAAGTATTTGCGCAAGAGGGCCAGTGTAGACAGCTAAAAAGTGTTTTACGCAAAAAAGCCCCAATGGCAAAAATGGAGGATTGGGGCTTTCTTGCGCAAAACCGCGCCTAGATTGGCACGGACACTTTTCCGCAAAAAGTGCTTTTGTGCAAAAGCGTCTGTGCCAATCTAGACGTTCTTTTCCGCAAATGCTTTTAACGGAAAAACTTTTCTGTTAAAAGCATTTGCAGAAAATCATGCAAGTCTAGACGTAGCCTAAGTCTCCAGAAAAGTCTCTTCAACTTCCAGGTATTCCAGAAAAGAGAGACTGTCACGTTCTGGGATGCAATCCAGACCAGTGAGGAGTTGTCTCTCCACAGTCTTGGGTGCCTCACAATGCTTTCCTCTTGTAGCTCACAGACAGCCTGCCAGCATACCACAACTCATACGCTAAGGCCACATGTCTACTTGCCACTCTGGAGATGAATCTTCCGGCATTTGATTTAGCGGGACTAGCAAGGACTCGCTAAATCGAATGCTGAGGACACCATCATCAACACAAGTACTTCTACTCCTCATAAGGAGTAAGGAGAGTTGACAGAAGTGTTTCTCTCATTGACCTCCTGACATAGAGATGGCACCAAGCTCACTTAAGGTACATCAACTCCAGCTACATTATTTACCTTAAGCCAACCTTCTGGGTCTAATATGGACCTGTCCTTAGTGTCCAAGTATAGCTGAAGCTCTGTCCCAACCACCCTGGCCCCAGTACCTATCAGCAGAATACCAGTCACACTGTGGCTTCCAACAGCTTTGGTTACTATTTGCAGGGTCACAATGACTCCAAAATAATCTCCCAGTCCTGAGTTTACCCACACTTATCTTTTCTGCACCATCAAGCACTTTCCTAGACAGTTTTACATATTAATAACTGTTACTCTTGTGAAGAGTCAATAGCTTTCAGTCTACCACTTTTCCTAGACTTGCCAAACAGATTAGTTTAAATACAGCGTACAGGATTGGGTTAGATTTAAAAAAAATGAAAGATGTTTATTAACAGAAGACAGGGTGTTAAGTGAAGTCAAGTAGAAGAGAAAGCTAGAAATGGTTACCAGCAAGTGAAAACACGCAGCTAAAAGTCTAAAACTTAATCTAGTAAAACCAGCAAGATTTAAAGATTTGTGCCACAAAGATTTAAACAGTTTCCACCCCACTATCAACCAAGAACAATCCACACAAGAGATCCACTTCCTGGACACTACTCTACCAATAAATGAGGACAGGCATCTGCAAGGAGATTTAGATCGTTTGGTTCTTCCCACCGATGACTAAGGTCTGTTGGTGTTACACCTGGTTAGATCAGTTAGCTGGACTGCTACGATGGTGAAATGTGGTAGAAAACTGACAGTAGTGGCTCCTGGTGGTGCTCTCTGCATTTCTCATGATCTTAGGTCTTATTTGGAGATTGAAAACTTGCATCACTAGTACAGTTGTCAGAATTCCCAGTCGTGGACGCATGTTACCACAGCTGTGACTAATAAAGAAAGCAAGCCCAAAGAGGAAGAACAGAGATGATGAAGGAGGCAGAAAGGCCTGGGATAGCAGAAGAGCAGCTTGCTCATGGTGCTCATGCCAGTCTGCCTCTAAGAAACAGATGAGACAAAAGAAGCCCAAAAGCCTGGGACACTAAGGGTTGATAGACTCAAATAAGGGTATAGACTGGTTTAATTATAGGTGAATTGAAGGGGACTAGTTAGGAGAAAGCTGGGACCCCTAGAAAGTCTGCACCAAGAGCAGTGCACATCATGGCAAAGATTTCTAGTTCTCCATTGGGATAACATCCAGTATCCATGTATATAGCGGTCAGCAGTTCATGGCGGAAAGGGATCTAGGGGTCATAGTGGACCACAAGTTGAATATGAGTCAACAGTGTGATGCTGTTGCAAAAAAAGCAAATATGATTCTAGGTTGTATCAACAGGTGTGTTGTAAGCAAAACTCGTGAAGTCATTCTGCCGCTCTACTCTGCACTAGTTAGGCCTCAGCTGGAGTACTGTGTCCAGTTCTGGGCGCCACATTTCAAGAAAGATGTGGAGAAATTGGAAAGGGGACAGAGAAGAGCGACAAGAATGATTAAAGGCCTAGAGAACATGACCTATGAAGCCAGGCTTCATGAACTGGGCTTGTTTAGTTTGGAAAAAAGAAGATTAAGGGGGGACATGATAGCAGTTTTCAAATATCTAAAAGGGTGTCACAAGGAAGAAGGAGAAAATTTGTTCCTCTTGGTTACTGAGGACAGGACAAAGAGTAATGGGCTTAAAGTGCAGCAAGGGAGGTTTAGATTGGACATTAGGAAAAAATTCCTAACTGTCAGGGTGGTCAAATATTGGAATAAATTGCCAAGGGAGGTGGTGGAATCTCCCTCTCTGGAGATATTTAAGAACAGGTTAGATAGACATCTGTCAGGGATGGTGTAGACAGAGCTTGATCCTGCCTTGAGGGCGGGGGGCTGGACTCGATGACCTCTCGAGGTCCCTTCCAGTCCTATTATTCTATGATAAGATTTCATGGGCAAAGACCCACTTTGTCAGATAATCTCCCTCTCTGGAGATATTTAAGAACAGGTTAGATAGACATCTGTCAGGGATGGTGTAGATGGAGCTTGGTCCTGCCTTGAGGGCGGGGGGCTGGACTCGATGACCTCTTGAGGTCCCTTCCAGTCCTATTATTCTATGATTATACCAATTTAATAATTTCATGCTGCAAATATATATAAAACCCCAAAATTGTACCATGTATTGAATATTACCTGTTCAGAAGGGACATTGAATAGAGATCTTTTTCCAAAGATTGCAAGGCAAGATATACCTTAGATTTCAGGTCACTAGAAAAGAGAATACCAATTATTATTAAAATTAAATAATTGGCAAATAAAGGCTAATTATATTTAATAGATACAACCTATTTCCTGGAATTTGATACAGATTTAACAGGCCTTCTAGAATCTTTCCAAAAGCATCATAATTCTTCATCCTAACAATAAAGAACAATTATTACCGCCAAAATACCAAGGACGATGAAACAAACACAGCATACAGCTTTACATAGTGAGGTGGAAATATTCATAGTGCGTAGAGACAATGACGTAAACCTGGTTATAATATTTGGCACTTCACAACAAAGTTGTAAAGATTTTTTTAAAGAAATCTGTCAGGAAATGTGAAGTCTTGACTCATGCACAAAGCAATGTAATTAAATCTGACATTACTAAAGGATGCATCACTGAAAGCAATGAACATGCATGGTATATGTATCTGACAGCTGGAGATGTAACTTATCAGCTAGAAACAGCACTTCTTGACATTTCAACACAGTCAGTCGTGCACTAACACTCCTTAATACAATGAACCCATGGATAATTCTTTCATCAAAACATCTCCAGGTTCTCTACTCACAACACCCAGTTAGACAATTTTTTAAAAATTCTATAGAGGGTTAAAATGAAACAGAGGATAAGCAACTTTTCCAAGGATACACAAGTCAGTGTTAGGGCCAGGGAGCTGACCAAAATCTGTCTCCAACTAGAAACTCAAGCAAATCACTTATTTATCTCTGCCTCTGTTTTCCTTGCTCAAAGATAGGGATAGCAACTCTTCCATATTTCATAGGCATATTTGCTAATCATGTTTCACTAGTGGTTTGAGGTCCACAAATGTAAGGTGTTATAAAACAGAAAAGTATTATTACATTTACAATTGGGTCTACCATTAGATAATAAAGTAATGAATAGGTGAGGTGGAGACAGATTGAATGGCATACTGTAAAGAGGTTTCAGGGGGTAGCTGGGTTAGGGGTGATACTTATGATACCCCTTTTTACTAAACATCACCTTTTAAGATAATTGGAAGCTAAACAATTTGAAACACATTATAAAAGGTATCAGTACCGAAGGGGAGAAAGAAAGGTTTGAATTCAGCTAACTATACTGATCAAATTAGAAATAACTGTTTCAAACTTTGAACTAACAACATTTAAGATGACCAAAGTGCAATGTAGGCCCTCAGAGAGAAGGTCAAGAAGTATCCTCTATCTTCCATTTCTTACCCATCTTTGTCTTTTGTATTCCAGTAAGAAACGTGTAAGAGATACCACAGTCACTGAAATATACTCATTTGGTTGACCAAATTTGGTTTTTAGTATACTTTAAAATCTAAGTAGCTTTTCAGCTGGCTTAAAAAAAATATGAAGGTCACTTTTGGAACAGGAATAGTTTAGACAAAAAAAAAACTTCTAATAAAAAGCATTAATGCTATTTTTAAGAAAAAATAATTTTTTAAACAAACATTGATAAGAAGAGAAAATTCAGACATTCACTTTCTGGTTTCACACTTAAAAATTAAAAAAAAATTTTTTTTTAAAAATCAAGCTTTCAGCAATATGTAGCTTCCTGATATTAGGACATGTAGAAGAGAAAATTCTTGTTCTACTCCCTTTAAAATGTAATACTAATTTAAATGTTCCATCAATCATTTTGGGAATAGCTTTAGAATTAGTAAACAATTCCCTTCAAATTAGCCAACAAATTCTTAATCAAGTCTATACCTTAGAAGCTGCATTAGATCATCACAAACCTAAAGTAAAAATAAAATGGAAAGATCAGATTTTCCTGGCACCCTTTATGAAATACCTCTTTAAATATTTTACTGGTGATAGTAACATTATTATTCATGACTTTACTCATCAAGATTTTCTCCAAGAATTCAAAACGAGATTATATACTTATGGTTATGCCAGAATCTTAATATGAGAATACAGTGGCTGTGTGACAAGAGTGACCAGATGTCCTGATTTTATAGGTACCGTCCCAATATTTAGAGTGCTCTCTCACATAGGTGTCTAATTTCCCCCACCGACAGCCCAATTTTTCACACTGTCTGACTGTGTGACTGACAATTACCCAAGATACAAGCAACTTATCTGATCACTCTAAAATCCATTGCGTCTTTGCCAATAAAAAAAAACAACTGGCAACTATTGTTCTCTAACTATGCATTTTTAATCTTAATACAATAACCCAGCCAGCATAAATGACAGATTTCCTTCACAAGGCGTGTTTGTTCCAGATAATTTTGTATTCTTTTCAGATATTTGGGCTGACAGCCCTGAAGTCCTCCACACTTCCCTTTAGCCACAGAACAAAAGAAACACTGGTGGTGGCAGCATAAGCTTCTCCACATTTTGCCCACTAGGTTGTTTCACCTAGTATCAAACAACAGCACCAACACTTTCATTACACAGTGAAGTACTGTCAATATTTTATCAAGGGACTCCCAGAAGAAAAAAAAAAGCCTACCTGGTGAATCTATGCACATGTAGGGAAGATGATTGAGAAATTCTCTCATATAATAATTAAGACACCTCCAATGGAAATACATATTAAGCTACACTTTACTGAAATTCGTAGCACCAGAGGAATATATTTAGTATGTTGAACATAAGTGTTCAACTTTTTAGGGCTTTACGGAGAGGTGAAAGTTCTGGATGTAGCAACATTTAAAGAAGAAGTAAAAAGCAGAAAAAATAAATCACCTTGGTCTTTCCTTATGCTTGATGTTTGCTAAAATTCTACCAACTCAAAGATCCCTCCAACACTTTATAGAAAATGTAAAAAACAGTATAAATGTTTAACTAGGAGAATTGCTCATCCTACCTATTGAATCACTGTCATTTAGAAGGCTACAAAAGATTCAAGAAGTGCCAATTGCTATGTGGATGCCTGTGTTCTAGGAACTAAATTAACATCAATATATTAAAGTACAGGCAGTCCTGGGGTTACGTACAAGATAGGGACTGTAGGTTTGTTCTTAAGTTGAATCTGTTTGTAAGTCGGAACTGGCGTCCAGATTCAGCCGCTGCTGAAACTGACCAGCAGCTAATTCCAGGAAGCCCGGGGCAGAGCAACTCTGCCTCGGGCTTCCTGTAGTCAGCGCTGGTCAGTTTCAGCAGCAGCTAAATCAGGACGCCTGGGGCAGAGCAGCTGGGGTGCTGCTGGGTTG